AACTGTGTACGCACGTGTAAAGCGAGCCAACGGAGAGATTCATTTAGCAAGCGGCGATACCTTCGCGTTTCCTATAGATATTTTTGTGATTGATTTACATGCTATGTGTACCAAATAATTATATGTGTGGCTAACATCTTGCATAGTCGTATATCCCTCAATTCTGATGTAACAGAATTGAGGGTACCTTTTAGTTTAGGGAAGGTTTAAGGCCTATTGAACATAACAATTGCCATTTTACCCATATTCTCTTCGTCCCCGTTCCTCAGTATCCGCGTGTGTACGGACGGGCAATTTTCGTGACAAATTTGCTGTCCATCCGTACGAAATTTATTTTGGTCTTTCAACATACGAGTCCGGAGATACCGGCGTTGATATCTTAAGAATCGGCTAATAACTTTTGGCTTATTTTGCTGATGCTATCGAAACAAGTGAAGATAACGACATCGACATTACGGCTTGCCGGTCGCCATGGTATCGGATAAAAATCGACGCTGGTCATAGCGCTTTTGCCAACCGTTGATCAAGCGCTCCGCATTAGGTTGAATATGTCAACCGCTACCCATTCCTAAGCGAATGCTTACACGGATCGCGTGAATCGTGCTGCTGCGGACTTTCAGACCTATCGATCAAGGTTATATACTCATTGAGCGCATCAGTGTAGTGCGCGTACTGAACAGAACATAAGTTCCTCTTTTGATTCACTGCAAGAGCTAGGGTCATGCAGACGCTTGCTAGAGGAAGAATACCGGATTATAGTTTCAACCCGTCTGAAGCTGTCCGTCGAGCTGGAGCGGAGCCTTTGTATGCCCATTTGTGTGTATCTCCTGGTTACAATACGGAAAAACGAGCACAAGAAAGTCCTTTCGTAAGCGCAATCAAAACTTCAGGTAGTTTCATTTCAGGGTTACTGTATGCGCATAAGCAGCAGCGATTAGATACTTCCTCAGTCTTAACGCAGAATGTAGCTTGGGAACTAGCACCTGGCAAAAAAACCCATGGGTACCTTTCTCAGTTTGCGCGCTAGGTGAGGAACAGACGCCACCCCGCCCATCTTAGGTTTTACGAGCCGGCGGATGCTTGCCAAAAAGATCATCTCAAGCTTGGCTTTGCAAAGCTCAAAGCTGGACGCGAACTTTGAGGTGGCAGCCCATTTCCTCAAGTTTCTGCTGTTCCCATCATGTCCATAATACAACTGTGATCAAAACTGATCAAGATGCTTTCGCACCGCAAGATCGATAGCCTTTCAACTAGTAAGAAGAGCGCTGCGTCGGGCCGCTTTCCTCTTCTCCAAGGATTGGATTGAGCCGAGGGTATGTTAGATCGTAAGAGGCCACGGCATCATAAATATATTTTGATTCAGTATCTCATTCGCCCACTTGTTTTGAGCTGAGAATAAATTTTCCACTTCATACGACGCATTAAATGCTCTGCTGAGCATCCCATCGCACCAAATTCCCTACGTGAAGTGTCCTACCATGCTCACTGAACAGTGTTGAAGCAGGACGACTCTCTAACGGCCAGCTACTGTGAGACCTCTCGATTGTAACAGCACGTCAGCTACCTCCGATGATCAAAGCGTGCGTCCTGAGGCTGAGATGTCAAATTCACTAAAAAAAAGCGTTGTCATCACACTATAGAGTGGTAACTTTTGCGCAGTTTCATGAAGTGCGGAATTATTGTGAGCAACAGTGTAGTTCATATATCTGTAAATGATTTAATTTTCTAGTCGAACCACATCGATCCTTCTGAGCAAAGGAAAGTTCAGCGATAGGGGATGGTGGTGATGTTGCTCGTCTACAACAGATCCCTTTACATCCGACTGGCTTAACGCGGGGATATTGTATAGCTCTAGTTAACAATCATACAACACTGGATATACTTGCATTCTATTTGAATAGGGAGCTCAACCTCTCCTACATTATGCCCGCAAATGATTCGATATAGCGCGGCTGCATCTCTGTCTTATACTGTTTGTCTATACACTACAGACACTGCATGTGTCGTAAGGCAAAGAGCATCTGATTAAACCTTCGGTTCCGCAACATTTCGTGTGAATTTTAATTGCCTTCGGCATCGGTATTTGTATTTGTATTTGTCGTATCTCTCAGCCATAGAGTTGCACATTGCAATATAGCCGAAAAAAATTTATCGTTTTCGTCAATTCTTTGGCTGAACTCAGCGAGACGCCAGCTTCTTCAGAGGGCCCGCAAAGACCACGATACCGGTATTATTGAACGCATATTTTAGAAGACCGAGAATATAATTCACAACAATGGACTGTCAGTGCTCGGTCGGTGTTGGTTGCGTTAAGTTTTCTCAATGCATGAAAAAATTTTTACATCAAGACTCGGCTCCGATGGAGCAAAGTTACTCGCTTCCTTCTAGCCAGCCACTTGTTTTGCACGGGTGAAAGCGCCTAGAATGTCATACTGTTTTCTAGGTATATGCCGCTATTTTAGTTAAGCAGGCCAATCTCATGTCGCACCCCGACCCAAAGAAGATTGTGTGGTTGGTTTCTCATCATATTTTCTCAAAAGAACCTTTAAAAATACCTCGCACTCAGTGCTACGTGAATATTTGCAATGACAGACTGATCAATGCCAAATTACAAGCTCACCTCCTCATTTGGTATACCAACTTTGTCGCTGATCTACCGCCATTTAACCCCTTGCAAACATTTCTTAAGGACACCTCTTTGTGTCGGATGAGAGCATCTGTCAGGGTCAATAAAGGAGGATTACTATACCGGCCAATTCATTTACGAGAGAGTAAAGTTTATCGTCGCATACTTGTGAAGCTTCACTGCTTCGCAGTTTGCGCATCACACGATATTGCCGGCTCAGCACTACAATTACATCCTGACAGGAAAACCAATCACAATAATTTCACGGTCTGTTTCTATTTGTTTTTACCCAGGCTACCGACTCTTATTTGTAACGGGATAAACACTGGAGTCCTATGACGCACATT